ATAGAAACAAGTTTAAGCCCCCATTTGTCATCCTTTAAAAATTTAAATTATTTGCTATATAATCATTCTCCACCATACATTCACACAATAAAATTTCCTTACTTTTTAACTACACATTTTTAAAAAAAAAATACTATTCAATAACTCATTATTCCCAAATAAATTCTATCAAATAGGCTCGAAGTTTACATTTACAAGAGCATTGTGATCCTAAGACAAAAGTTAAGACATGAAAGGGAAAGGTGAAGGACTGCGTTGGAGACCTTCCAAAACTACACATTTATTCTATTTTCAGGGAAAAAAAAATGGGGATTCTGAGTAATTTTATTGTAATAATCTTAAGTGGTTTCCTCTTCTTTTTCTCTATTCTCTCTTTCTCATTCTTTCTTTTTCTTTATCTTCCCAATGTGCATCAATTCAAGGTGCATGCTATGGTTGTGAACCACTTGATTTTATAACACCTTTTAAGCAGATGTAGCACTTGACCAAGTACGGTGCAAAATAACTTCACTGTTTAACTATGCATAAGTGTAAACATGAAATAACCTCATTCAACCCACACAAATTTTTGGTGATGACAAATGAGGAGAAAAAATGATAAAAATAAGAAGGTTAAGCATACAGCTTGAGAAGAATATAACATTAGCAAATGTATGTAAAAGGGAAGAATCATTAGTTGACAATTAAATATTTGTTTTGACTATATCATCCTGCTTTGATATTCATATATATGCTATATTCTCCTGAAAAATGACTAAAATCAGAATAATATACAGACAAAATCATCTTAACTAATATGGTACTTTGACAGAAAAATGCTTATATCTATCTGGTTCACAAGTCAAATAGTCCTTATTTTGAGTGAATTTTTTTTGAAAATCCAAAGCAACTTTTTGACAAGAAAAATAGTTTGATTACCAGTTATGATGTTATGACATTACGTTATTTAAGATAAATATCTTGTAAAATGTCTACATTCCCATGTCACTCCAGTTCTAATGAAGGAATTCTCGAGTTTAAAATGGAAAGTCTCAAGTTAAGGAGGCCTGATATGAAGGAATAAAGATTCTAGAAAGAAACTATAAGGTTTCACCAAGGAACTCTGAGATGTAGCAAAGACTAAGTACCTACGGAGGAACAAACAAGAACTCTAAAAAAATGACAACAAAAGGGCAGTTCAAATGAACTACAAAATCTAAGTACCAAGTTCTACTAGATGCATCCAAAGCCCATACCAACATGAAAAGAAGAAAATATCATACAGCATTATATATATATTTTATAGCTTTGTGGACACTTCGTATTCTAGTTTCCATCTTCTTGTTATAGACTATATATATCTATTTTGAGTCCATACATAATATCCTACATAGCTTGAAATACTTCCATTGATCTAGAAACAATCTTAAGTTGTGTTAAACACGGTAAGCATCAATAAATAGCCTCTTTCACCACATTTCTCTTACAGTCTATGCTTATTCATACTACAATAATCAAATTATCACAGCTAAAAGCAATAAGAAATTAAAAATCTTACGCAGTGGTCTCTTGGCCACCTCCTTGAGTTCCGGTGCTGACAAAGAATCCGGCGGGCTTCCCAGATAGTTTCTGTTCCCTCCACAACTGTCCAGTCGAATCAAAGAAAGCTTTCATTTGGGCCGCCATGCACCCGTACCTCGTTGGGAACCCAAACAAGAACCCATCCGCCGACACCAAGTCTGCAGGGGACCCGATTACCGGAATCGAATCGTCCTTAGGAGGGGCCCGCATTTGGGCCAGGACATCATCAGGCAGCGTCTCTGGTACCCGAAACAGCTCCGCCTCGACACCATCAACGGCGTCGACACCCATCTTCATACGCCTGGCCAGGCCCTCCACGTGACCGTACATTGAGTAAAAAACTATGAAAAGCCTGAGGTTCTTGGACGGGTCTGGTCCGGCCGTGGTGTTGGAGGTGGAATCTGGTGGGGATTCATCTACTATTGTTGTGGGTTCGGGGAGTTTTTTCTTGCTAGGAACACAGCCCCCACCTTTTCCCATCGAATTGAAATGGAAAAGAGGTTTCCTGATGGTGGAATAATACTGTTGGTTCAGAGGGAACGTCGCGTCGTATAATCAACGTCATGTTTTCTCAAAGCCCTTGACAAGCATTATTTGAAAAAAAATAATAATAATAAAATAAAATAAATAAATAAATTCTTAAAGAGTAATTTAACATCATTTTAATACATATTATACATTTTTTAAAAATAATGTGGCTCAAACTGTCAAACATACACTAAAATTTTAAAATAATTCATTAATATAATATAAACTAAGTATTTTTATTATTGATTTTAACATTTCAAATGAATGTAAAGATACATTTACAAATGGTTTGATGAAAGAAGTATTTTGTGAAAGGTTCGCAAAACTATTGCGAAATTGAACTTGAATGGTGTATTATTTTACAAAAGAGTCTTGAAAGAATAATGTACTTGTAAAGAAAAAGAAAACAAATAAATATAAGGTAACGAACAAGCCTTCATGATTGACAACAGTTTCTAGCTTACAACACCATTATCCAATACTAATATTTAACTGAAATTCAATTGAGAATCCTACAACAAAACCTAGTGAACATGAGACAAATCCAAGGTGCATCATTTAAGAACATTAACTTTGTGTTTTTCAACATCAAATTTCTAGTCATTTTAAAGAATATGAGAACTTCTAATAGAAAGTCAACTAGCAATCATGATTTTCCTCAGAGAACTTATTCTCTAGATGAAAGACGGCCACGACTTGATTTCCACCAAACTTCCTTCCATTCAGTCCCTGCCGTGCTTTTGTAGCGCTTTCAACATCGACATACTCCAAGAAAACCTAGAGGTAAGCAGATAATTGTAATTCAGTCTCAAATTTATGTTACAACTAATAAAAGAAGATAAATTTGCTAATGAAAAAAGCCAAGAAATCTATTGCTGTAGTTTGAAGTATCATATTTGTTTTACCAGTCACTGAAAATTGAACTACATGCTAGGAAATTTCAATTATAAAAATTGTATAATAAAATTGAGTGCTCTTTATACCAAACCTTTTCTAAACCTGGTGTTGGTTCACCATTGGGACTTGGGTTTGTGATGAGTGTAATTCACTCATTAAATTAACGCCTCTAAATCACGGGTTTTTGCTTGTTATTTAGCACTTTTGAATATTTTGATGTGTGTATTCATGTTATTTTGCAGCTCAATCAACATTCGAGAAAACGTCACAATTGGGAGCTTGTGATGAATCTAAAATGGTGATCATAAAACGGGGGCATGAATTGGAGATAAGAAAAGAGAATTGCAATGGAAAAGTAGCTTAGAAAATGAACGATTCAAGTGAGGAGCAGTTTGTTAGACGCCACAACGCCTAACAAAAAGGAAATTTTCAGCAGTAAGTTGGGCGCCGCGGCGACAGCCCACGAAATACATCGCGGCGCCACCTCATGAGGGAAGAATTTTACAATCTTTGGACTCTCCTTACAGCCCAATTCAACCCTAATCTTTCCAAGATTTGAAGAGCATATAAATACCATCCTAAAGACACAATTGAGAAAGGAGAATGAGAAGAGTAATCCTAGGAGCAGTCGGTAAGAACATAGAGCTTGAATTTGGGAAATTTTTGGATCGATTTTCTGGGATTTTCTCTGAAAAAAAAGGAGGAAAAAGTGAAGACATCATTCAAGAGGCAAAGATGAGAAATTGAATTATATCAAGATTGACAACCAATTGGGGAAGGACAAGCGGCTTAAATCAGTTTTTCTAAACCCTTATTTATTCTTTCTCATGTTCTTTATCTTGTATTTTGGCATGTGGATCGATTCAAGCATAAACTAAATTCGTAGATCTAGGGTTGATGTAACCTATTTGAGACATGATTTGATTCTAATATAGTTATTTCCTTCAGTTTTTCAAAATTTATTTGTGTTGTTTTGTGTTTGATGCTTTCAATTGCCTGATCACCAATTGAATGAATCAGTGCTTTAAATTTGATGCTTGAGAGAGGAAAATTTAGACATGATCTGGAACAACATAACCTAGATTTGTAGGTTTCGAGAGAAAGTGCAATTCTTTGAGGGGTTAAACAAGAACCAAGAGCTTTAATGATCTTTATATATTTAATTCGGAACCAAGAGTTTTAATGATCTTTACATATTTAATTCGGAATAGAGATATTGGGGTTAAAATATAAAGATAGGTTCTATTGGTGCTCAAGAGAGGGGATAGGATCAAATTAAGGTTCTTGCCTATAAATTGGGAATAATTCGATAGAAATAGCTATAGAGGTTGAGAACATGTTGATAGTAAGGTGAAATCAATCCCTAGATATCCATAGTTTAATTTGATCTTTTTTAGAAATTGCCTCACTTTACTTGCATTTTTCATTCCATTTAAATTAGGTTAACATAAAAGTATCATTTCAAAATTGGATTTGTCTAAATAAAGTGAAAATCGAAACAATTAAAGTACCCACTAGAGTTTGAATATCAATCCCTGTGGGTTCGACACTTTTAAATTTTTCGCTATATTACAAAACTTGACACTGTACACTTGCGGTTAAACCACATTGCATAAAACGCGTGGCAGCGTGGAATGAGCACATTTGTCAAAGTACCTGCAGATAAGAAATGGGGAATATACAAATAATTGAATAGAAGGTCAGGGCAACTCTGCTGATCATTATGTCGAACTAGAAAAGGCTGTAATACATCAAAATAGCATATAAGAATCAATACATATGTAGGAAGATTAACTAGTCAATCAAATAAAAAACAACAAATAACTGATAGAGGTTCAAAGGCAGCTTAAATGTATTTATCTCACATTTTGTTCTCATGTCTTCTAATACGTCCCCATAATCTTCATTGTCCCTGAGCTCATCCGGGGTAACCACTTCCGTTGGACACAAAACCTTTGTGGCTGGAGCACCAGGTTGTTGTAAACATGAATCTCTGCAAGAGAAATGGTATTAAGAAATGGACAGCTAAACTCATTAGAAGGCTCGACTCTGGTGCTAATTTGTTCGTACAAATTGAATTCTATCATTTACAAAATAATGGCTACCTGCAAAGGTCTTGGATATAGGGAAGGATATAGAAAGATAAAGGGAGACAGAGGATACAAATGATTGCTATGTGCTTCCATTCATCAAAATGGTATGGTCCCTGTTTGCAGGTTTACTCAAATCTGCAGTGACCTTGAATGAAATTTTTTTCTGAGCAGACAATAAGAAAGAAAATGAAAGAAGATCTAACATGGAAATTTTCAGAATCAGACAAGTAAAAGTGAACCTTAAAGTGAAAATTCAAATCGAATTCCCAACTTTAATGTTTGCATGATCCCACGACATATTACTCTTTTAACTTTTGCTTTATTAGTTGGGTTTATTTTTGGATTAACACCAGGTTCTATACAAGCATATAAATAATAAAAATAAACCTAATGGTTATGGGGCTTGGGCCAGCCAATAATACAAACCCAATTAATAAAGCAAAAGTTAAATAGTCCAAAACAAAATAAGATAGCCAACTAGGGTGATGCCCTTATCAATTCTCCTAGGGTGGAAGAAAAACTTGAGGATAAATCATGAAAGAGCTATTGTCAATGTCCAAGTTAAGTTTCTGAACTCAAACCACAGTGTACGATCCTTCTGAAGAACCAAGTATCGAAACTCAACGGTTGATAACAATGTAAATGAAAACTTATCCTCAGGAATATGATTCAACCAAGGAGGGCAATCTCTCCTTTTAATCAAGTATTGATATTGGACTCCAAATAACAAACACTCATGTAGCCCATCTCCAAAATCTTCCCATGGTTGTGCATATTGAGAAGCACAAGAAGCTAGCATTGGAGACTAGCCTGTAGAGACAAAAGATTACAACATCGAAAGCTCGAATATGCCTTGATTAGGAAACAATTCTTCTATATTGAAGATATAACTTTCATTTAAGTGAGATGTCCAGTCAGATAAAAAACCTTTATACGAATACTCTAATTTATATTGCACATCGAAAACTTTCATGATTGGAAATGATTTGACCGTTTAACTTGGTATGAAATTTAGGAATATTTCAACATAATGATGAGCTAGCACAACGTGTCGATAATTAGTGGGCAACATCCTAACGTCAATAGGAAGAGTGCAATCGAGTAATGACCTTAGAGAACAATGTGGCAACCTTTGAAATCTCATGTAATTGAGGAAGAACTAAAACAAAGTCAACGTGAAAGTCATGCATCATAGTAGGCATGAGATCCAGGACATCTGAAATGCTTGACCTCGATGGCATTGCTCTAGGTACTTTCTCAATTATGTTAATGTTAAGTTTATCCATTATAGATGTGGTCAAAATAGAAGACACAATACACTGTTCACAACTCTCAACTTCTGTGAAGATGGAAGAAATAACCGCACTATAATTATCTAAAAAAACCCCTAAATATTTTAGAGCTCGTGAAAAGTAGCGTTTGATCTTGTCAGCACACTTCTCAAAAAAGTCTTTCCACTGCATTAAATGCACTAGGAGAAGCTTTCTTATTTTTATTTTGAGCACAATCCAAAAGAAGGGTAATCAAGTTTATTAGGCTATTGTCAATTTCTTCCAATGTAAGGGGCATAATAATCTCTGTGGAAGTGAAGACATTCCCTAAATGAGTTCATGTTAAAGCTAAAAGAAAGTGTTGGAACATATCAATTATCATCTGCTCACAATCTATGTCCAACATGATAAGAAAGTACTTCACATTAGCCACAGTATCTAGTAGCCAGACTACTATAGCATACGAATTGATGGAGATGCCCATGAGAGATGCAAATGATGATATAATCACTAAAAAGATATCTTGCATTAATTCATTACAAAATGGGAGATCAGATGCTGTAATGCGAAATATTTTGCTAAGACAAGAAACAACTGCTACTTGTACAACGGAATCAGGATGTCTTAATAGCTTATTTGAGACCAATGCTCAGTGTACCACAAAAAAAAAAAAAATGCAGCCATTCTATCAATTTTCTTCAAAAGTCTATTAAAAATATGAATTTGATCTAAATCATCAATTAAAATTTCATTTGAATTAGGGTAATTAGTACAAAA